CGTCACAATGTGAAAACAGCTGGACTTCACACAAAATGCCCCCTGCAACAACAAGCAGGACCCTCACAGAGTCACAGAAACCTCAAAAACCAACTGTCACACTTTACACAAAAATAATAGAAAAGCTGCACAACTGACTCACGCACAATGAAAAAGCAGTTGGACTTCACACAAAATGGCCGCTGCAAGAAGCAGGGACCTCACAGACAATCAGGCGCAGCTGATTGTTGCACAGCTGATCTTTGGAACTTTTAAAAAAACTTTTTAAAGCATTTTTTACTACCGGTTCAGGCGAACCAGCCCAAACTGCTAGCATTTCACCCTTGGCATCACCCCATAGAGTTAGACATGACTGAGCAGGGAAAACCTTTATCTTTATTTGGGGAAGACTTATTGAGTCTAAGCTGAATCAACAGGCCACTCTGGGGCCAGAGTTCACGCACCTTTCATTCAACAGGTCATAGCAGTGTTGAGCGTTTTCAGGTGCCATGAAAAGATTCACTGGCCAGTAACTTAACCTCAATCAGGGAGCTGGAGAAAGTAAAATGAAGGAGTTCTTCTCCCAATCAACCTCCACTTTCTTTGCTTCCAAAGTCACCTTTGGTTTCGCCCTTAGCGTTTGCCTTGCTGATTCTCTTCTTTTCAAAATGACCTTAGTTCTATTGGAGGTGATGCAAAATGAATCCAGAACTCTTTGGATATGACAACTGAAAAACAAAAATGGCCTGAGCATATCAACCTAACAACTCCTGAACTCAATAAATGAAACCATAACTTCTTGTGTACCTTTCACTTCTTGATTTTGAAAAGAATTGGAATTGCTGTGCAGGTGGCATAGCTTGGATGGACAAATGCATCTATTCCAACCTTAGTCCCCAACTGAGGACTAAGTTCACCCATCTTGCTAGATCTTGGTTTATCCTAATTACGGCTTAATAAGCCATCATGGGTGATTTCCACCCCCACCCCCCAATACACAACTGTAAACCATAGGCTCTGTATAGTTGCATATCCAGTATGTATAATAGCCATGGTGGCGCAATGATTACAATTCAGTATTGCAGGCTAATTCTGCTGACTGCCAGCAGTTCGATTCTTACCCATTCAAGGTTGACTCAGTCTTCCATCCTTCTGAGGTCAGTAAAATGAGGAGCCAGATTGTTGGGGGCAGTATGCTGACTCTGTAAACAGCTTAGAGAGGGCTGTAAAGCAGTATGAAGTGGTATATAAGTCTAAGAGCTATTGGTATTGATATGTATATATGTATGTACATATGTATGTGCCAGCAGAGTGCTGAAGTTGCCAAAAAAGCCAATGCAATCTTGGGCTGCATCAACAGAAAGAGTGTGTCAAGCTCATGTCATATATTAGTACCACTTTATATTGCTTTGGTAAAGGGACACGGTGGCTCAGTAGCTAAGATGCTGAGCTTGTCAACCAGAAAGTCAGCCATTCGGTGGTTCGAATCCCTAGTACCACATAATGGAGTGAGCTCCCATTACTTGTGCCAGCTTCTACCAACCTAGCAGTTTAAAAGCATGTAAAAATGCAAGTAGAAAAATAGAAACCACCTTTGGTGGGAAGGTAATAGTGCTCTGTGTGCCTTTTGTGTTTAGTCATACTGGCCAAATGACAACAGAGATATCTTCAAACAGTGCTGGCACTTCAGCTTTGAAATGGAGATGAGCACCATCCTCTAGAGTCAGGAACAACTAGCACATATGTGTGAGGGGAACCTTTACCTTTACTTTGCTATTTCTTTGGTAAGACCACATTTGGAATACTGTATATAATTTTGGTCACCATGATACAAAAAAGATGTTGAGCCTCTAGATCAGGGGTGTCAAACTCACGTTGTCACTGTAGTGTCACATGACGTATCAGGATTCCCCCCCTTTACTAAACCAGGCATGGGCGTGGCCAGCATGTGACGCATCCAGTCCATGGGCTGGGAGTTTGACAGTCCTGCTCTATATAGATTGTAGGGAAGAGCAACAAAGATTATTAGGGGTTGGAGACTAAAACATACAGTATGATTGTTGCAGGGACTACAGATGCCTAGTCTATTGAAGAGAAGGACTGGAGTGACTGTCAGAGTTTGCGGCAGCAATCACATCCAGAAAGCACACACAGGTAACTGATTCCGCAGGATTCAATAACTTCTTTATATACATAATAAAACATGAGGCATATATACTATACCCAGGCTGGTGCTTCCAACGTGGTAGCAAATACAAGCAAACACAAGCAGAGGAAAGTACAGTTTCAGTTTCAGTTCAGAGCAGCAGACTAATTTAGAGCTCAGCACAGACTCAGAGCTTTAGTGCAGAAGAGTTGAGCTAAGCCACACCCACGCTCCTTGCCATCTCCTTGTTGCTCACACAGCAAGTACTGTTTCCAAACGGCCCTCATTGGCCGACCCAGTCTATTCATTGGCTGNTCTTAATAAATTGGAACTTTGAGCAATACTTTGCCTTGGACTCTGATTTACTTTTGGATGCTATTTGAACCCTGACAGTTATTGTTGTTGTTGGGAAAACAGGAGGAGGAAGGTATGTTGGAAATATTCGCTGCCTTGAGTTACTTGTGAAAATAATAAATGAAATAAATAACCACCTTGTCGGTTTGGCCGCTTTGAATTCAGGTGGTTGGCAGCCGACATGGCGTAGGAGGTTGAGAAGGATCGGCTTTTGGTGAGTGTCATCAGGAGAGAATTGTTCCATGAGTCAGAGCTGTGAAAATAAAAGAAGAAAGGCAGCACAATTCTTATTTGTAGGCTTCTTTACAGAAAGAACAGCGGTCTGACTGATGATCACAATCTCTAGGAAGCTGTAACCCCATGTTTCTTGCAACAACCAGTCAGATGTTTACAGGCAGCTCACAAACTGCTTATAAAGGTGATTTTGCCATCATTTGAATCTAAGATAGGCAAAGTTGCATATTAGGGGAGGGAGGGAGGGAGAGAGAGACGGAGGGGTAGGAGAGAGAGAGAGCGGGAGAAAGAGAAGGAGAGAGAGCGAAAGAGGGAGAGAGGGAGAGAAAGAAAGAGGGAAAGAAGGAGAGAGGGAAAGAGAGAGGGAGAGAAAGAAAAAGGGAAAGAAGGAGAGAGGGAGGGGTAGGAGAGAGAGAAAGAGAGGAAGAGAAAGAGGGAAAGAGAGAAGGGGAGAAAGAAAGAGGGAGAGAGGGGAGGAAGAGAGGGAGAGAGAAAGGGAGAGAAAGAAAGAGAGGGGAGGAAGAGAGGGGAGAGAGAGGGAGAGAGGAGAGGAAGAGAGGGAGAGAAGGAAAGGGAGAGAGAGGGAGACAGACAGAGAGAGGAGGAGAGGAAGAGAAGGAGAGAGGGAAAGACAGAGAGACAGAGACAGAGACAGAGACAGAGAGACAGAGACAGAGAGAGAGAGAGAGAGAGAGAGAGAGATTATATCTGCAATTCAATTGGCCAAATTAAATCAGGACCGGCCCATGGTGCCTCTGCCTGGCAGAAACAGCTGGTTTCACTGGCAGAGGGTTGCAGGAGGCCATGGCACCTAAAAATGGAGCTCGTGAGCCCGTTTTCACTGGCAGAGTGCTCAGGCCACGCCCAACCTGGCCATGCCCACCCCAGAGGTCAAACACAATCCTGATGTGGCCCTCAATGAAATCGAGTTTGACACCCCTGACCTAGAGTTTCTCTTTTTCCTACTAATGACTTTAATTGCATTAAACAAGGACCGTCCCAACTTAAGAGATACCTTCTGTGATCCATTTTGATAGATATAAAGTTGTTTCTTCTTCTTCTTCTTCTTCTTCTTCTTCTTCTTCTTCTTCTTCTTCTTCTTCTTCTTCTTCTTCTTCTTCTTCTTCTTCTTCTTC